ACGTCGTATAAATCAAATGTAACATTCAAATTAATATAGGAGACAATCCGTTTTTTGTAATATGATTAGACTGTTTAAGTGATGTGTAGTAAACTCTGCTGAAATATCCAATTTTACTTTTAATTTATTAAATTATCAACTGAATTGTGACACAGTGAAACAAACTATTACTTTTTCACTAATCTCAGAGCACGTATATCATCTACGGCTGATGGTATGTTAGCGTATCAATACAGGCTTCTCCATTATCATAACGAAGTACAAAACATTTCGACGGGCCGTAGGTAAAGAAACTCTGGAAAATATTATTTAATGACGTGAGATGCATTCTTGTGATAGGAGTAATGGGTGACTTTCCTGGAATTAGATGCGACTGATAAGAGGCTAATATCCATGTTTTTGTGTATAATGATTACAACAGTGAATTCGACTAATTCTGCTTAGAATTATGCTATTTGCAGCCAATCATATTGTATAGTCAGGGTGTATCCAGTGCTTGTGTGTGATCGTGGATCTTTTTTTACGTAGTTTGTCTTAGAGTTCAGGAGTTATGGCAGTGTTAGCAACGATGAGAGTCATTCACCTATGTGTTTTGTTCCTACAGGGGACATTCGCGATATATCAAGGGACCAAAAAACAGTTTTTTAGTAGATGCACAGACGCCCATTTTATCATCCAGAACGATGCTGTAGCCCTAACTAACTAACAAACTAACTCCATAAACTGAAGTCCTTCCTGAGTACCTAACTAGCTGAACTAGTCAGCAAATTATTCACTTTTATTTTTACCGAAGCTCCATTGCCCTGTTTACTAGGGTACGCCTGTATTTCGTATCGTGAATTAAATTAATCCCGTCTATGTTCTCACATAATTTCTCTAATCCGGGTCACAAAATTGATGTTTCCTTCTGGTTCCCAAACTCCGCTCATTCCTGTTCTCCCATTACCCAACTTCCATATAAATAGTCATTTTTATAGATGCCGAAATCATTATCATTTTAGCAAAATTTCGTGTGTGTAGACGTGACCATATTAACGAAAGATTTTGTTATATATATATTTTTATATATATACACATACACACACACACCCTATGTTTGACTTGTCTTGTGCTCTCATAATTTATCTTGTCTTTAAGTCGCCAAATTTTTCCATGCTCTACACCAGTCCATTTCCCGTAAAATTCCTATTCATCTGTTTTGTTTCTGTTTTTGGAATCGTGAAACACTGATAGATATGTTAAAATACTCTTAATCACTGCTTTAAATTTTATGATTTGAAGGAATGACATATGTAAGTAGATTAATTCTAGATTTTTACCGTGAATGAGATGACAGGATTATTTTTAATATAAATGCGGCAAAGATCAGAAGAGGAAGTGGTTTTTAGACTATCTGAAGGAAATGGTGCATCATTCGCCTTGAATGACTTAGAAAAATCACAAAACCTTTGAGTCAGGGTAACTGAGATTCGAACCGGATTCATCCCAAACATGTCAGCTTAAATGTTAAGTCTTAATGTTCAGTGGAAATACGTGACCTGGAAACAAAATGTTAGCAACCTTAACTGATTAAACATGCATGGAGAAGCGCTGTTATTCTGGATGTGTACAATAATTATGAGGTGAATACTAACGACAGAACCTAATAATGCATGTCATACGAGACTCGCACTTTAGCTTTCGCCCTTTGGCCTCAATGGAAACATAGTGATTCCTAGTGTGACACGTGTTATGCTGTGCGTCATAGTGATGTAACCGGAATAGTCAACCCTTACCACACGCATTGTCTGGAACAGGTAGAAAGAAGACGGAAAGGCAAATTGTACTTGGAGTGTATATTTCGTATTCAGAAGGTTTCCGGTCTTTTCGGAGACTGGCTATCCTAACTGAAAACTTTTATAATTTCCCTGTCTTCACAGGAAGATAACGGAATATTATTTTAAAATGGACTATGTCCGTTTCCTTCCTCCTATTTTCCAATTTTTTGTTCAGTATTATTCCTATAATTGTCGCTCTACAGTCTGAGCAATTGACAGCGTTTTAAAATAAAACAGACTGTTAAGAATTGAAAATGTCTACATGCTGTGGTGTTCTGCCGGGTTTTCTGGTGTACGTTTACCGACGTTTCGGAAGCGTTTACTGCCTACATTATCAGGGTACTTGTTAACACAATCGAGACTTATTAACCGTTTCCGTAACAATTCGGTCAGTTATGAACTAATGTTTAAACTGAATCGATTTTGAGGTAGCAGGTGTCTGAAATGTTAAACCTACGGGTTGTGAAAGTAAGAAATGAGTCTTCATAACGAGACACACGTGGCTAGTCCCATATGAGTTGACTTTATCTCTATTTGCAAGAGTTAGTACTGACAGAGACCAACCTCGGCTCAGGTGGAGCTTAAACACACCTAGAGCACACCTGAGGCCCACTGCGTGTTTCATACTGAGTAGCGAGGGGCAACACGAACGCCAAGCAAACAAGTACTGTCACCTGTGTTTCACCGCTTCCTGACACAGTAGAGTTTCATAAACATGCATAATTCATGTAAATTTCTCCTATGTTATTGTACTACTTACGCTAACCGTAAGTTTTCAAGGATATATTTGTTCTGATTAATGTAGAATAGCCAAATATTGATGCAAGACGTCATATGTCCTTAAACGATTCAGATTTGCGTGAACAAAATTAGTTTCTGTGAGAAATTTCTACAACTACAGCACTGAAAAATGTATTATTTATGTTTTAACTTTTCGCTTAAATGTAGTTGAAGTAACAGCTTAATAATGAAGTGACAATTGGCCTGATAATTTTAATTTAATACAAATAATTTCCTAATCAATAAAATGTAATATATGAAAGTAAGAATATAAAATACACGTGATTGGTTATGACAGTCATTCTAAGGACAAAAAGAAGTAGAGCAGAACTAGATTTAGATTTTTCAGAGCTCGTAGAATGCCGATTAACCAAAGACCTGATAAAATAAACCGTAATATTTCACAAAATTTCGAATCAGGCTGTAATACTGAATAAAGCGAAATTCGTGGGACAAATTCTTAAGTTACTGTTTCGTAATTGTTACACAGAAATTCAAATGTGGCATGTATTTCGGTAATGTTTACTGTATCGAAAGTAGATGTATATAGGTAATAACGCACAGAGAAACAAATATCAAAGTCCAGGTAGAATCAAAATTCGATATTGAATAAAATTCAGTGTGATGGATGAAAATGCTTCGTTCGTTTTAGTAGTTGACTTATATGTCAAAAGCGTGTATTGCGTTTGTTGGTTTTATTTGACAGCATGGATTTTAATATATATTCCCACATCCACATCGATCAATGAAATTGTTTCCAAGTGTTTACAAAATAACAGCTGGGAGAAATTTTGCTTTCTTAGCGCTTTGCCCACTTAACGACCAGTAAAAAAAAGAGTAAAATGCCCTTGAAATCGTTGCGTTTATTTATTTAAGGAAAAATATTGCGATAATTTTATAGTACAATTTTAAATAAATAATAAATTCAGAAAATATTATAAATATTACATTATCAGTAATTAAACTTAGAGACAGAACTGGAAGCAAAGGTTTCAGAAAGAACCATAAATTTTAGTACTGTAAAATATTAGCCACTTGGATGATTTTGATAGCTGTAAAACATGATATGACGGAAGAAAAAGTAGATTACATAGCAAATCTAGACAATAAATGTCACCTATATGTGAGGAAGTTATCAGTTTGCAGCATTCATTTATAATAAATTAGCTGTCATCTAAATACATACGGTCTGAGGAGACAAATAATGTATTTATAAAATAATGAAAAAAACTCGCACTATTTTGGGTGTTAATATATCATACTGGAAGATTGTTATTTCGGAACTTAGATAGTAAGTAGCATTACTTACAGTTCTTGAACTGCATGAAATTCTTACCATAACTTGGGCATCTTATTGTCTGTGCATTCGAAATTAACCCCTGGATCTCACTTGATCCAATCCTCTTTATACCTTCATGAACACACGTGTAATCTGTCTTTGTGTGACGCATTGAAATTAAACGTTCAAAGCTAGTACCGGACAGTGTAATCAGGTTAGCTTTTGTAAATGAACTTCGCGATACTTCGTATCATAATAGAATTTTACTCAGTGTATCAACATAAAGAAGTTCCGTCGAAACGCTCGTCCATATTGTTAAAAATTGTGTTTATAATATTAATCTCTATTTTAATGTATTTTACACAGTTATACGGAAATTATAATCTTAAGTTATATCGATAAATTAAGCTTGATATTACTAATTACTACCGCAAACTTATTAATGTCTATTAATAAACAGGCCCTCAATGCATTTCATAAATATAGCATGTAATTATAAATATACTTACCAATAATACTTACATAATTTTCTACAAACAAATGACAAATTTCAAGAATTTCAGCCTGCTGGCATAATATAAGATGATATGTACGAAGTCAGGAAAGAAATGTCAGCTTGTAGAATTGTTTGTCTTTATTTCAGAGAAAAATATTATTGTTCCTTGTTTTATTGCTACTTTAATTTACATCAACGGTCGTGCTTCATGCCCATTTGTCTATCTTAATAGCTCTTGAAAGATCTTAATGAACTTAGTTGAAGCATCATGCCTAGAGTTTACTTCATCTTCGTAATTTTGAATTTTTTTACTAATTATAAAAGCATGGCACCCGCACCAAAAAACTTAGATCAGCACTAATTACCTCTTAATATCTGATTCTGATTATGAGTTGAAGTAATTGTAAAAAAAATATGCAACTCTGATGGGAAATGTTTTTTTAATATAAAACAATATGGCGTCCGCGCGATATTTCCGGAGGTTTCTTACCTTTTATGGTGATAACTG